GCTAGCCTCCCTGCCCCACGGAGGCAGGAGGCCACGGGACTCCGCCACCATCCCAGAAGCCCCAGGAAAGGCGAGCGGCACGCCACGTGCTCCCCCACAGCTGCCTCCCCCGTCCATCTTGGAGCCGGGCAAAGAAGCTACGCGGGGCCTACCCTCGCTCCGGGCCACGCGGGAGCCGCAGACCACAGGGCAGAGAGAGGGACGCGAAGGCAGAAACACTCCCCGCCAGGCGCGTCTCAAGGAAGAGCGTGCTGTCGCGCGGCGAAATTTATTACCTAGCCAGGGTCCAAGATGGCCACGAGCTGTGACGTCAGCGAGATCTCGTGAGAGCGGAAGGGCGCGATTTGCAGGTGCCCGCGCATCTGCCGGCGGGGCGGGACTCTCCGAGGATCGCGTGAGTGTCTACGGAGGTGAACCAAGGGCTAGGGGCGGGGCGTGCGCGCCGCAGGGCGCAGTGCATGCTGGGACCGCCTTGCCTGGGCGGAAGCCTAATTCGAGACCAAAGCGCGGGAACGATGAGAATACGCGCCCGAAGAGGTTGTTAGCTACGCGGGAGTTAAGCGCGGGGTGGTGGCCGCTGAGGTACCTACCCCTGTCCCGGGCTAGGCTTCTCCTTAAGCCGTCTCCTCCCTAGTCCTGACTCTCACCGTAAGGGCCCCTGCATTCTGACCGCCAACATGGTTCTGTTGTTGGCGGCTGTAATGGCACCAGGAGTCTGACCCATGGGGTCATGCCGACCCTCCTTCAGCAACCTGGGTACTTGGATTCTGGCTAGAAAGAATTCAGAGCCAAGACCCAAACTGTAAGAGGATTTTTACTTGGTAAATCACAGAGGTCGGAAAAGTGATTGGTAGAAGAGATGGCCTGAGGGAATTTGTTATGGAGGTAAAGGAAGGGCCTTTGGCCCTAGCGGGTTTTGCTCAGTGGATAGAGCATTGGCCTGCGGTCGACCGGATCGATTCCTGTCAAGGGCAGTACCTCCATTGCAGGCTCCTCCCCCACGGAGCTTTGACCGGGGCTCAGGCAGGAGGCAACCAATCTCACAAGGTCTTTCCCTCCCTCTTCCACTCTCCCAAAAAATCAATGGAAAAATATCCTCGGGTGAGGATTATCAAAACCAAAAAAAAAAAAAAAAGGAAGGGCTCCTGGGGCTTGGGGGGGAAGGAACAAATGGCAAGGGCCCTGGGGGGGGGGGGGGGCGCTTCTGGGAGGGAGAGCACACTGGGTCCTCCTGTTCCTGGTTTTTTGTTGTTTTTAAATATTTTATTGATTTTTTACAGAGAGGAAGGGAGAGGGACAGAGAGTTAGAAACATCGATGAGAGAGAAACATCGATCAGCTGCCTCCTGCACATCTCCCACTGGGGATGTGCCCCCAACCAAGGTACATGCCCTTGATTTACAGAGAGGAAGGGACCCTTCAGTCCGCAGGACTGCGCTCTATCCACTGAGCCAAGTCTGCTCATGGTTTTAAGGTGGAGATTTTAAGGGAAGATCTCAATAGATATTCATCAGTTTTCTAGGTGTGCTCTTTCAGGGTTGTGGTCTTCACTGGTCGATTGGCCAGTCTCAGGGCAGGGGTCATTCTGCAATGCAGCTGGTCCTGAGGACAAGGTGGGCGGGGAGGTCGCTGGCCTGGTTTTGCTGCTTTTCTGGACCTGGAGCTGAAATACAATTGAGGCACAGATGTTATCTCTAGGGAGGAAAGGTCAGAGGGTCAAAACGCTGGACCAGCTTTTTGCTAGGGGAAGGAAAGTCACCCTGGGGGCGAGATATCAACAATTGACTATCCCTTACTGTAGGTGCCTGGGGCTGACTTATGGGGGTCACAGTGGTGCTCCCTGCTGACTGCCCTGCTTGCCAGCTGGGACCTGACATGTCCTTCAGGAGCTTGATTTCCACATCTGTAAAACGGTGGAAGTACAGGGTGTGAGGGTTGAATGAGAAATCTCCACACAGAATACTTAGCAAGCAACCTGGTATTTAAGGATCCGTGGTTAATTGTTAACTGTGACCCCTGGCTATTACAGGATGGATTCTAGAGTTGTTTTTTCCTCTAGTCTCACACTCCTCCCTCTGTTCACATTTCTTCAGAGAGAATATCGGGGGACGTCTTGCCCAAGCTGCTATTTCGAATTTAGTAGGTGCTGGTCCTTCTGGTATTGACCAGGGCCTTTCTTTGGAAATAGCTGTGTCCGAGCATGTTGCAAAAGCTTCTTGAATAGGCTTTTAAATGTGCAATATCATACTGAGGCAGCTTTCCCATTGATAGTTAAAATAATTTAACACATTTGGCACCTAACACCACTTTTCTCTTTATTAGGAATGCAAAAACTAAAAAGACCCTCTGCATTGCAAGGAGACTAGAGGGAAGTGAAAAGTCTAAAGATGAAGGCATTTCAGACCATCTGCAGGCAGCTTAAAAGTTCAAAGCGATTTTCTGTAGAACTATCCCCACATCTGGGTTTCTCCACGTCCTCTTATTCATGTGGCCGGAAGAAAAAAGTGAACCCTTATGAAGAGGTGAACCAAGAAAAGTACTCTGATTTAGTACAGTCTGTCTTGTCATTCAGAGGCCCTGCTCAGACTCCAGAATCGTTGTTCGAGGAAGATTCTTTACTCTATGGACCTGTGAGTAAGTGTAAACCCCCAAAGCAAGATGAGGAAGCAAGAGTTCCAGGAAACTGGTTTCCTCTCTTCAATCCAGAGAGAAGCTGCAGACCAAATGCAACAAGTGCTGCGACAGCCCCTTTGAAAATCCCTTTGCAAAGGAATAAGATACCAAGTGTGACCCGGGTCCTTCAGCAGACCATGACATCAGAACAGATTTTCTATTTGGAGAGGTGGAAGCAGCGGATGATTCTGGAACTGGGAGAGGATGGCTTTGCAGAATATACTTCAAGTAATTTTCTTAATCCTGGTTCTATATTGTTACTGTGTTTTCTAGAATATACAGCACTAGTGTCATTCATTTAAATTTTTTTCTTAAACTTTAACTAGTGAGGAATTACTTTCAGATAATAATTAGCTTTAAATAGCACTGAGTGTTTAACTCACTTAATCCTCATGACAACTCTATAAAGCATAGATACTATTGTCCCCATTTCACAAAAGAAACAAATGTAGAGATCAAGTATTTTGACTAAATGATGTGTAAAATTTATTTATTTTATAAGTTACAAATTTAAGTATTAGAATTGCCTGTTTTCTTCGATTATGGAAAAGAGTCAATCACCTGATAATGGAATTATACTTGTTTGCTGGGCATTCTGTTCAGAATCTAGGACATAACCCTTGTTCTACTTATCAATGTAGACTGACAAGCCAGACTAATGGAATTAAAACAATAAGCCAGAACACGTCATCTGTATTTAGATCTTGGTAAATTGAGATAATCAGATGCTCTTGATTAGGAACTGAGAATAAATAAACTTTAGGGTGGAAGAAGCAGCGGATTCTGGAACTGGGAGAGGATGGCTTTGCAGAATATACTTCAAGTAATTTTCTTAATCCTGGTTCTATATTGTTACTGTGTTTTCTAGAATATACAGCACTAGTGTCATTCATTTAAATTTTTTTCTTAAACTTTAACTAGTGAGGAATTACTTTCAGATAATAATTAGCTTTAAATAGCACTGAGTGTTTAACTCACTTAATCCTCATGACAACTCTATAAAGCATAGATACTATTGTCCCCATTTCACAAAAGAAACAAATGTAGAGATCAAGTATTTTGACTAAATGATGTGTAAAATTTATTTATTTTATAAGTTACAAATTTAAGTATTAGAATTGCCTGTTTTCTTCGATTATGGAAAAGAGTCAATCACCTGATAATGGAATTATACTTGTTTGCTGGGCATTCTGTTCAGAATCTAGGACATAACCCTTGTTCTACTTATCAATGTAGACTGACAAGCCAGACTAATGGAATTAAAACAATAAGCCAGAACACGTCATCTGTATTTAGATCTTGGTAAATTGAGATAATCAGATGCTCTTGATTAGGAACTGAGAATAAATAAACTTTAGCCTTCAACTCCTAACTTACTAGACAAGTAAAGAGACTAACTTCCTTTAAACAGATTCCATTCAAAAGCAAGATAAAAAGAAAGACCATTGCACAGGTGAATTAACTGATCCTCATCAGGACTGTGTAGCTGTCTTTTCTTAAAGCTAAGTTTTACATTGATCATTCCTTAGACCAGTGGTCGCCATCCTTTCAGACCTCACTGACCACTAGTGATCCGCAGACCACCGGTTGCCGACCTCTTTCTTAAACTATACTTCCCAGAAAGCAGTATATCTACCCCAAGTGGTGGTACACAAGCACTTTTTTAAGAGTAATGCAGTTATTTTGAAGCATCTTAGAAAAAAAGTGCATGTGTGCACACATGTTAAACAAGTAGTTACATGTGTTTTATTATTTTTTAAAATATATTTTATTGATTTTTTACAGAGAGGAAGGGAGAGCGAGAGTTAGAAACATCGATCAGCTGCCTCTCCTGCACATCTACTGAGGATGTGCCCGCAACCCAGGGATGTGCCCGCAACCCAGGGATGTGCCTGCAACCCAGGTACATGCCCTTGACCAGGATCGAACCTGGGACCTTTCAGTCCGCAGGCCAACGCTCTATCCACTGAGCCAAACCGGTTTCGGCTAGTTACATGTGTTTTAAAGAAAAATAAATCTTGTGTAATTTTTAATTTAATTATTCAGAGTTTTTTAGAGTATTTTTTAGTACTAGTTTGATCTGTTTTTTGTTTTGTTTTTTTCTTTTCCCTTGATTTTTTTTTTTTTTTAGACTTATTTTTACAAGGGAAACAGTTCCATGAAGCCTTGGAAAGCATACTTTCACCTCAGGGGAACTTAAAAGAGGGAGATGAAAATCTTGAGTCTGGCTACATCGAAAGCATCCAGCATATTCTGAAAGATGTCAGTGGAGTTCAAGCTCTTGAAAGTGCTGTTCAACATGAGACCTTAAAGTATGTAGGTCTGCTGGACTGTGTGGCTGAGTATCAGTAAGTATTAGATTGTTTTTATGAAAGTAAGTAGGTGCATTAATGCAGGGTGGGACAGATGGTGCCTACTTTTTCCTCTTAACTCCTACTTCAAGGTACAGCCTCTGTTAAGTCAAAACCTGTGTGATAGGTAAAAGAATTGGGTAAGAATGGATACAGAGGGAAGAGCCACATAATCCTTGTAAATCTGTTTTCCAAAATCAAAATGTTTGGTGGAGAAAAGATAACTTTTTTCCTCTTTATTTTTTTTGAAGATAACTTTTCAATATCCCTAGGATGGCCTGTTTTCCAGCATGTTCTCCTCCCCTCCCCCCAATCCAGGTACCAGCCATGTGATCAAATTTGATTCCTGGATTTTATTTCCTGTTCCCCTAAAAATAGCATCTTGATCTGTTAGCCACGCCAGCTGGGCCAAAAAAAAAAAGTGGGAGGATTTTTTTAAAATACATTTGTATTGATTTCAGAGAGGAAGGGAGTGGGGAAAAGAGATAAAAACATAAATGGTGAGAGAGAATCATTCATCGGCTGCCTCCTGCACGCCCCCTACTGGGGATGGAGCCCGAAACCCAGGCATGTGCCCTTGACTGGAATCGAACCCAGGATCCTTCAATCCACAGGCTGACGCTCTATCCACTGAGCCAAACCTGCTAGGGCAGGATTTTTTTTTTTTTTCTCAGAGAGGAAGGGAGAGAGAAACATCAATGATGAAAGGATCATTGATGGGCTGCCTCCTGCATGCCCCCTACTGGAGGGAATCGAGCCCGAAATCCAGGCACATGCCCTTGGCCAGAATTGAACCTGTGACCCTTTAGTCCACAAGCCAACACTCTATCCATTGAGCCAAACAGGCTAGGGCCAGGATTTTTTCTTTTTTTTTTTTTTAAGTGTTGATGGATTTGAACCCCAGCCTTGGTTTATGAGCAAGAGAATTTCTAAAGCTCCAGGATGTTTAGTCTTTTATGATGAGGACTTTGCTACTGGTCTGTGGTGGTTCATTCTGATAGACATTTGAAGCAAAATCAACTAAGGTAATAATAGGTGTAGTTTCAATTCCCCTGTCACTTGTTAAAGGAAAGGAGGCCTTGGAGGTTCCAAGGCATTTCGAGAATGTATAGGAACTTGAACTGTGGAAACGTTGTTTCCCAGCACTCCCACCATGGGTCTGCACCTGTAGGTCTCACCGGTGCAATTTAGGAAACATTTTCATCAAACTCCTGACAGGCTCATTTACTGAATAAAGGGCTGAAAGCAAAGAGAAGGTCAGATCTTTCTAATCCTAAGAGGTAAAGCTCAGAGGAGCTGTCTGTTTGGCAAGTGGAGAATAGAAGCAACAGTCATTGAGTGACAAGTAGTAAATTACACGTAAGAGGGTTAACCTAATAGAGCTTTTTGGTTTTAACTATTACCTACAAAGATTTTCCTTTGGTTTCTCTTTAGAGGCAACCTGTGTGTGATTGATTGGAAAACATCGGAAAAACCAAAACCTCTTATCCGGAATACATTTGACAATCCGCTGCAGGTTGTGGCATACATGGGTGCCATAAACCATGATGCCAACTATAGCTTTCAGGTCAGGACACTGAGCCTCTGCTCAAAGCTTTGCTCAACACTTGTTTAAAGCTATTTAACTCATTATGGTTCTTATTCTGTTTGTAGCCCACTGCTTACTTTGTTCCTTGTCTATCTGCCACTTTATTTTTTTTTTTATATATATATATATTTTATTGATTTTTTACAGAGAGGAAGGGAGAGGGATAGAGAGTTAGAAACATCGATGAGAGAGAAACATCGATCAGCTGCCTCCTGCACATCTCCTACTGGGGATGTGCCCGCAACCCAAGTACATGCCCTTGACCGGAATCGAACCTGGGACCTTTCAGTCCGCAGGCCGACGCTCTATCCATCGAGCCAAACCGGTTTTCGGCTATCTGCCACTTTAAAAAGCACTTTTCCCCTTCAGCTTTTTGCTATTGTTGCTAATAGTTCTTAAATGATGACAGTCCATTCTTCAAAGTGTTATCTGTCATCTTTGTGTTCTTGTGTATCCTGGAGCAGTCTTCCATCAGCCCATCTTAGAAATTGAGTTAGCAGATGTTACTGTAGATTGTTTTGTTCTGAGTTTGCCCTGGAGTAAGAAGGAAATTAACCTGAACTCACTCATCCTACTGTGTCTCTTATAGGTTCGGTGTGGTTTAATTGTGGTGGCCTACAAAGATGGATCCCCTGCCCACCCACATTTCATGGACACAGAGCTGTGTTCCCAGTACTGGACAAAGTGGCTTCTTCGACTGGAAGAATATACAAAAAAGGAAAAGAACCAGAATATTCAGAAACCAGATTAGGGGCAGGATGCTATTTGGAAGCATTCAGCACTTTCTCACAGTTTGGGAAAATATATTGCTGTTTACTGTGACCTAAGATGGAAGTCCCACAGGATCTGAGAGCTGCTTTAACACAAAGCAGAAATATTAATTTGTTAAAATTTATTGCAATAAAAAAGAAAAAGACTGAAAAGCCAGAAAAGTTTAGATATAAAAAACTGGACTTCAGCATACAAAAGATCAGCCATGCTACCTCTGACTATGATTTACTTGAAAAAAGGTCAAGCAGGATTGGCAGTGTTGGTGGCTCTTGGACCCCATGGAACCTCTCTGTGTCCTGGGCAGCCTGCCCAGTCTTTGAACTAGAATTGGAGGGCAATGAGGCTTGGTGTGCCAAGCATTTCCCCAGGGTTACACCACAAGGGAAGGGGCATGGCAGTCCCAGGGTGTGTGGAGGGGGAACTCACATCGGCCAACTACTACTGCCAACACAGTTTCCTAGAACTTGTTTTATATATTGGGGTTCTCTTTATATTTCTTTGAGAAAGAAAATTTCCATTTAACATTTTTGAAAAAGAAGTATGTGACTCCTTAGCCTCGAATAAATAATTGCTCTGGAGAAAGATGGAGCATATTCACCACATCATTGGCATTGCTCCTTGGCATACCACCAAATAACCCCGAGAAGTAATTGTAGGTATTTTAGTAGTTATGTTCTGCTTTGAGTAATTGAATCATGTCCATAGAGAAAATGTATCATTTGTGGAATTTTTCACCTATGGGAAACAATATATTTTTGGGGGGTGTTTGATAAGTAATAAAACTATTAGTTGTCACTGGGTTTGGGAAACAAGTAAATCCCCACTATAGCCTTGGGGGATGGGTCCCTATTTTATGGAGTGGTTAGCATTTAAGTTACAGTTACTATTTTAAAATCATAGGATGCTACAATTAATTTGTTTCTTTCATTAGCCATAATTATAAATAAAATACAAGATGTGAGTAAAATAATGAGGTTTTTGGTTTTTTAACTTCTGTGTTTATAGATTAATTTCACAAACCTGGAAAATGTTTAGACTTTGTTTTTATATTCAGAATTATACCACTGGCCCAGTAGCTTTGGTGTGTGTTTTATGTAAATGAATACAAGGAGGTGTCCTGAATCAGTCACCTGTCAAGGAAAGTAAGGTTCATTTGGGAGAGAGGAGGCTTGTGGGTGACCGTTTATTGACTATACACATCTACATTTTTTAAAATAGCATATATTCCTGTAACCTGTAATATCCAAAGTCAGGAATCAAGTGAGAAAATTAAAAATTGTACCAGCAGATTTTTTTTTTTCTTCCACGCTGCTCTAATAAGTTTCACCCTGGATTTAGGAAACCAGAGCCAACAAGCCTTCATTTTAATACAGTTCTGTTGGGTTAACATAAATTCACTTTGACCCAAGCTAATGGTGGTGTGAAAAGATCCATAAAGATCCTTAGAGTCTAATCAAGAAGATATGGTTGGTAGAACAGTGAAGGTAAATCCCTAGGTAGGTTTCCCTGAACCACATAAGGGCACCCCAATTTCTCACTACACTGGTAAATTTCACATCTCACCAATTAAAGAAATCTCAATCCTTTGAGAAGGAAATGTTGATAAGGAAAAAAAGTTATTTTCACTACTAAGGTATAAGAGGAGAAAACCAAATCTGAGTTTCTAAACGAGTCATAACTTTTTAAGAATTGACATGTAGCCCTGACTGGTTTGGCTCAGTGGATAGAGCGTCGACCTGCAGACTGAAGGGTCCCAGGTTCGATTCCAGTCAAGGGCATGTACCTTGCTTGTGGGCACATCCCCAGTTGGGGGTGTGTAGGAGGTAGCTGATCGATGTTTCTAACTCTCTATCCCTCTCCCTTCCTCTCTGTAAAGAATCAATAAAATATATTTTTTTAAAAAGAATTAACATGTATATTACTAGTTTTTGGTTGCTACCTGTTCCCCTAAGAAATTGTGAAATGAAACAAGATTTGTAATGAGAGAGTCTCCAAATTGAGGTACAGTGGGGCCTTGACTTACGAGTTTAATTCGTTCCGTGACGGAGCTAGTAAGTCAAATTACTCGTATGTCAAATCAAAAAGTGAACAAGTGAGACACGTGATGCTGGGCTGATGTGGTGTTCACTGTGACGTTCGCTTCGCCAACTAGCGGTAGGGTATCTGAAGCTGGCCCGTAACCCAAATTTTAGCTCGCAACTCAAAGCAAAAAATCGGGCTGGTATCTCGAAAAACTCGTTAGTCGGGACACTCGTAAGTCAAGGCCCCACTGTAATTAAAAAATTTTCAAAGATTCATTCTTTCTGAAGGGGTTACTTCAGAAGTACAAAAGGTAACCTTGTAGATTTGAGCTTTGAGATAGTCCATTAGATTTAAAGCTGCATTTCATTCTGCAATTCTATACTTGCTTAATGCATTTAATAAGACTGCATTTAATGAAGCTACCAAAGCTCCAAGTTGGTACTAAGAGCCAATTTTTTTCCAGTCTGGCCAGTGTGGCTAAGTGGTTGAGCATTGACTATGAACCAGGAGGTCATATTTCAATTCCCAGTCAGGACACATGCCCAGGTTACAGGCTCAATCTTCTGTATGGGGCATGGAGGAGGCAGTCGACCCATGATTCTCTCTTACCATTGATATTTCTATCCCTCCCTCTCTGAAATCAATAAAAATACGTGTGTTTTTTTTAATTTTCCCCTCAGACCTGGCCTCTTGCTCAGAGCCATTAATACCCATTAATCTGAGAATATTAACTTCTTTCTATAAACCCATTATAGTTCTAGGAAAATGAGTGAACATATGACCTATGGTTTTATATTTGTTGACTCTGGTAAACACAGGAAGAGGGTTTAGTCATAGGTCAATGTGTTTCCAAGTAACCAATTTGCCTACCAGCTTTAAAAGGGTTAGAGAGGGGTAATTTGTTTTAATCGCTGTGTCTTTCCACCTGAGCAATTAAACATTTTATTATAACCTACCATACGTTCTCCCAGACACACACAAAAGTGAAGCAAGGAAATAGTTGAAACTATTTTTTTTAAATAAATGCTTCAATTGTTTGGAGCTTGTATCCTAACGAGAAACACTGTCTTAAACCAATCAATTACTAAGTACAGAGCAGAACTGATTCTCCTGGCCTCCCTCCCTTCCAGCCTCTGAGGCCTGCAGGTTAAGCAAAGAGATGTGCTGTTGCTGGAGGCGGAACCTGTGAACCTTTAAAGTTATACTATAGAAGGGAGCTTGAGAGAATCTCTTTGGGGAGATCTCCCTGATTGAGTATTGCCTTGACAATAACAGTGGTCAGGTTTGAGTAATGCACGTGTAAATCCAATCATAAAATGATGTTCTGGGTTAGAGGTTCCTTTATAATCAAGATTGGGGCCGGGGGGTCAACTCTAGCGGGTTTGGCTCAGTTGGTAGAGTGTTGGCCTTCGGACAGAAGAGTCCCGGGTTCAAGTCCGGTCAAGGGCACATGCCAGGGTTGCTGGCTCCATCCCCAGTAGGAGGCATGCAGGAGGCAGCCGATCAAGGATTCTCATTATTGATGTTTCTATCCCTCTCCTCCCTTCCTGTCTGAAATCAATTTAAAACAATTAAAACAAAAGAGTGGGGGAGGGGAGTTTTTAATAGATCATCGCAGATAAACAAGTCCTTGCCTTTGTTTACCTAATCCCATTTCTCTCCCCTGAAATAAACACCATCATAAATTTGGAGGGTATCTTTCCAGTATATCCTTTTACAGTTTTACAACCTGTGCTGGTCTCCATGAAAAATACATGGTTGTATTTTCTGTGTTTTTGGTTTCACTTGCTTTGTCTCCACTTATTTTTGAGATCTCTCCAGGTGACCACTTCCAGATCTATATTTCCTCATGCTTCATTGTCTCACCACTGGGCTGATAGGCTAACTAACAACGTTTTGTTACTATAGACAGTGGTGCAGTGAACAGCACCCTCCTGTGCGTGTTTCCTGGCACACAGGAGGCAGGTGCAATGTGGTGGAAGCAGGATGTCGATTGTGGCTCTGCCAGTTAATAGCTCTGTGACCTTATGGCAAGTTATCCGACCGTTCTGTGCCTGATTTCCTCATTTGTAAATTGGGGAGAAATACCGGTACCTACTGTTATAATACAGCAGTACAGTGATGTAAGCGCCTGGCACATCATGGGAACAAAATAAATGTTAACCGCCATCATCATCAAATGAACACACCTGGACGCATCTTTGCTGGCCCCAGTATGTGCACAGCTTAAACGTTGCTGCCCGGTTCCCCTCCCAAATCATCTTTATGTTCCCACCAGTGATGTCTGAAATTTCCTGCTTTACCACACATTCATTAACAAGAAGTTTAAGACTTTTGTTTGCCAACATGATGGGGTGAAAACAGTTCGTTTTTACTTTTTGTTTTGAACAGCATTATCACTTGAATGAAATCTGCATGAAAACGGGATTGCCACCTAGTGGTGGGAGAAGTAGACTGCACTTAGCGGGCAGAAGCCAAATACAGTAGGGATGGACCTATCTGGAGGAACTGGGGCATCTCAGTTCCTAACACAGGTCTGGTTGGATTTAAAGTAACTGTGTGAGAGGTTTTCTCTCCGTTTGTAGGCAGCTTCATGATTTCCTTCTCACTTTTCCTAGTATGGCGACATGGAGACCTGTCTGCACAGCCCTGTGAGGCTTCCTACAGCTAAATGAATCTGGGTCACTGGCTCCGAAAAGAGAAGTGAGATAAATTAGGAACAAGGCTATTTACAAACTGGCAGGAGACTGTGGCTCTAAGCAGGGCAGGATTTTCATGGAGAGATGGCCAAATGCAGGCATGGGGGCTGCTCCCTCAAACCGCCTCAGGGCTGAGCTGAGAGTCTCCGTTAACTTCTTTCCAAATCAGGGGCTGGTCCTGTCTACTGCAAAGACTCCTAAAGTCATAATCTAAAAAGATTTCAGGGTGCATGAAAATGTTAGCTATTAATTATCAAAGAGATAAAATACATTTTAAAAGATCTATACAAAAATGTTCCATGAAAGCAAGGGTGTAAAAAAAAAGTTGCTGAGCCTGGCTGGT